AAATTATGTCAAGCCAGAAAGACCAAGAGAACCGAAAGTTCAAATGAAGTTAAAATTAATATTAAAAGATCATCAAGGATTAACCAACCGTTTCATTGTACACCACGTAGAATATCACATAGCGAAAGAGAGAAATTGAGAGAAATTTTGGATCGTTTACTCGAAAAGAAACATATTAGGCCGAGTGCGTCGGAATATGCGTCACCCATAGTCTTACCGAGAAAGAAAAACGGGAAAATACGGATGTGTGTGGATTTCAGAATTTTAAACAAAGCATTAGCGCGAGACAATTATCCGATTCCGTTAATTGAGGATCAATTAGAAACTTTGAATGGAAAGAAATATTTTAGTTTAATAGATCTAAAGGACGGATTTCATTATATTAAAGTGTCGGAAAACTGTCAAATACACGTCGTTTGTTACACGATTAGGTCAATTCGAGTGGCGAAAGATACTATTCGGACTGAAGACAGCACCATCTACTTTCCAACGATTTATAAATCAAGTATTGTCTGATTTTATTAGAGTAGGAAATATCGTGGCATATATGAACGATGTACTTGTTGTGACTGCCACATTAGATTAACATTTGCAAGCATCCATTTCGGGTGATGGTCGACAACGTATTGGAAATAAGATTAGATAAATGTAGATTTTTATATACGGAAACCGAACATTTTGGATACTTGGTAAGTGAAAACGGTATAAAACCAACAATAATATCAATCTATAGTCCAAAAGATAAAACTGAATTGCACGGTGATGTAAGCTCGGTGGGGTATGGTGCAGTTTTGATGCAAAGAAAATCGGGTGGGATATTCCACCCGGTATTTTAATTTTCAAAGAGGTCTACCGAGACCGAGGCAAAATATCATGGTTATGAAATGAAAACTGCAATAATTTACGCACTTAGGCGCTATATGCGTCGTCCACAATGGGCAGTAGTAGTAGCGGACTAAGGAGTAGGCATCAGAAGTAGGCTGCAGGATTAGGGTCTCTTTACGTCTGAGTGTCTACAATGACATACGGCCATGCTGTAACGAGTAAAAGAGCGTGCAGTAAAAGCGAGCAGTAAAAGAGCGTTATTCTTTGCATCTATAATTCTGGATTAGCAAAAAATTGGAATTATTGCATTATTTAGGATGTTATGGAGCTAATTCCTAATACTGCAATCGCGCATTATTCGGAACAAGAGGTCTATTATTGGTCGGAGATGGTGGGTACGACCTGTGAACTGGCGTAAACATATGGGTTTCAACCTTAACCTATTTCGCGAATTGATGATAACTGATCACGAAGAATTTTTCCAGTATACTCGGATGTGGCCAGAGCAATTTAAATTTTTGCTTAATTTGGTGCATCCATACTTGGAAAAATACAGCATTCGGAAACCTCTTTCATCTAGGCTTCGTATGGAGCTAACCTTATCATAAGTATATACAAATCAACTCGGCATTTCTTTAAAAGAAGCGTGCACTCTGTTTGGCTTATGTTTCTATATTGACTGTCTGTACTTACTGAAAACCTATGTTTGTTTGCTTCGTATACTTTAACATGCTCCTACTCACTTATCACAATGCTAAGATTTCAATGAGTAGAAGCATGTTGGAGTATGCTATGAATTTAACAAACCGAATGTTTCGTTTTATGTAGGTATCTTGCTAAAGGAGAAAGCATACGGACCAACCATCTAGAATTCAGAGTTGGAAAGTCTACAGTTGGCAAAATAGTACCAGAAGTTTGCCGTGCTATATGGTGTGTTCTACAACCCATTGTGCTTCCTACACTACATGCAGATGACTGGAGAAAAATAAGCGAAGAATACATGCTAAAGTAGCAATTTCCGAACTTTAAAGTTGCTCTGGATGGCAGACACATGGAAATCAAAAAGCCTCCATGCTCTGGATCACAGTATCATAATTACAAGAACTTTTCCTGTATAGCATTATTGGCACTCTGTAATGCAAATCATAAATTTACATGGGTAGATATTGGACAGTTTGGTAAGAAACGGTAGATACTTTTTAAAATAATTTACAAGAAAGAAATTATTAATACTGACGTTGCAATGCAATATTGATGTAATTTATAGGTTACATCAGTGACGATAATGTGTGGAGAAATTCTGAATTTGCTATAGACGTTGTCTCTGGTAACGCTGATATTCTATCAACACCTCTTCCAGGAAGACATGTTCCCTTTCCAAATGTAATTGTAGCTGATGAAGCCTTTCCGCTTAATACATATCTCATACATCCTTATGCAAAACGCAATGAACTGACAGACTAGCAACGTGTTTTGCTCGCCTCTGCATAGAAAATACTTTCGGAATACTATTGTCATGCTGGCATATATTACACAGATATTTATGTTTTTCCGTAAAAAATGCAGAAGACGTTATTAAAGCTCTTGTTCTCCATAATTTTATTATGAGCTCTAATAGTAATAACGAATTTGCCTCGCAGTATTGTCCTCGTGATTGGGTCGATGTTGAGGATGAGAACGGACTAATTCATGACGGTCGATGGAGAACTATTGTCTCTGGTGCATTTTTCCAAGAGTTGGATAGGACTGGAGCCAATCGAAGTGATTCGATATCGGAAGGCGTGCGTAATTACTTGAAAGAGTACTTTGTATCTCCAATTGGAGAAGCTCAGGCACCTTGGCAATACATGAGAGCTTTTCACGGTCAAATAATAAATCTTTCCGCATAGATGAAACAATTGATAAACTTAAGTCTGCATATTTCTGTGACTCTGCTATATTCTTTTTAATATAACTCGTCCAACTCTACAAAAAATACACCACAGGTAATTAGGCTTTTCTAATAAGTAGCGTTAAAGTAGCGTAAGTATAAGTAGCAGTAGCAGTAGTTGATAAGAGCGTTTAAGTAGCGTTTCCTACTCTAATAGAGTTTTCTAGTAATATACTAGAACACAAACGCTCTAACAAAAAAATGTACATCGTGTGTCGCTAAGTAAGTTCGAAAAATGTTTGTCTCCTATTATTTCAATTGTAAGCAATGCACGTATCGTTTTTAGAATAATTATTAACATTAAGTTTCAAAATATGTACATTTACGATTTATATAAATTTTATTTTCAGTATTGATTAATTATAAAATAAAATTGATTGTGCAGATACGGTCTTGAATACGGAACAAGTAATAATCTATAAATAAGTTTTTCTTGCAAAATGCTGTTAAAATAATTATAATACTAGAGAGAATATCTTTTTAAATAATATTATATATATATTCGGATTACATATACAATTATAATTTCAATAGTTTTAAATCTAATCATTTTCACACAGATACACATTACTTACTGAATGTATAATAAATAAATTACTACCTAATCCTGCAGTTGAATGCTGCACTACTTGTTAAAAGTATAACGTGTATTTAAGGAAAAAACTAATAATTTTGTTTATGACTGACGATTTTGTGGATGCATGACAATAAGAAGATTGAAATAAACGATTAAATTGAACTATTAACTAAATTTTTATTGCCGTCCTTCAAATCAATACGATATTAGCATAATATCTAAACTTAGTCTTTTTTTGTATTAATATCTGTCTTATAATAATAACGAAACTGAACATATAAATGTGCATTTTCATTTACAGTCTTTTATAAAAATCTCATAATACTTATAACTATATATTGAAAATAAAGTAAACGATTAAATTGTAATATTAATCTATTTATTATCATCCTCCATATGAACACAATATTAGCATAATATCACCCAAAAAAAATATTCTGCCGATAAGCGGGGAATTCCTCTTAGTATTTCCTCTAAGCAAAAAATCTTACATTGATCTTACATTAATCAGGTGCGTGTATTTATAACACGTAATCATCTATAAAAATGAGGACGCACGAGCTATGATCAAAAATAAATTCTTCTATAAAAAATTCTATTATATAATAATAGCTCAAATAGCCTTTTAAAATAAGAGGATATACAAAAACTACCGACACGCTTATTTGTTAGAAGAAGTTTGTCATTTACGTGGTACCGTAGTACGCGTGCATGTCAGTACATGTAATACGTCGTCTACAATGGGCAGTAGTAGTAGCAGATTAAGCAGTAAGATGTCGGAGTACGCTGATTTTTCGGTATTATGGGGCGCAGAGTAAGTCCGTAAGCGAAATGGTTGAACAGAAAGCTCCCGCAAGAAACTGGTGCTGTTTTTGCATGCTATAACCTAAATTTCGGGTATGTCGGTCACGGAATTTAACGATAGCTCTGGGCGTGACTTTGAAATAAGGAATAACCGAGAATTAATTGCCGTCGTTCGGTGTAATCGGTTTTTGTATGATAAAAAATGATATGCCGACGCCAATTTGAAAACCGAAGCATGGAGACTAATCGGTGCAAGTCTCACTCACCTACTAGAAGGTTAGTTTATTTCGATTAAGTATTGTGAAATATTGACAAAGTATTACAGTGATTTGATGTTACAATGAATTCCATCATTTACTTGTAGTTGTTCTGAATGCACTCATTAAGTTATAACATTAATTTTATAATATGATCTATTTATCAGGTCCTGCTGCTGAAAAAAACTTTTACACTTCGAGACAACACTTTGGAAAAGAGCGCAGAAAAGCTATTCAGTCTATGCTGTGATCTGGAGCTGGAGCTGGAGCGAATCAGTCCGTATATCAACCAACTTGGGAACTATGCAATGATCTCAGATTCTTGGAGGACATTATTAAACCGAGAAAGTAAATGTGGTCTGGAAAGTTCTATATGACAAATGGTAATAACGTTATTAATGATTGTAATGTGATTACAGAACTATGTATCGAATTATAAATCATGAACTCCTGTAAAGTCTTTTGAAGAAAGTGCAGAAACAATCATTTGGCATTCGCCTTTATTGACACGTAAGGACTTAAAAAATATATAATATCAGATATTTCTATAGTTTAGTAGACAAAATTTTAATCATTCTTTACATCGAAGACTTACTGATATGCATACTAACTAGCAACTTTCTAATTCTATTATAAATTGTTACATCTTCAGATACTGATGAGATTTCACAGATACATCTGAGGGCTCTATTATGGTAGTTCCTACAACATCAGTTCCCAGCAAACATCACTTGGTACTGTTATATAATTTTATTATGATTATTCAGATGTTTCTGTTTTATAACAACAAGACAGCTCTATGGCATAAATGAAATATCCTGATATAAATATGATAATTTTGTTACATGTCTTTGTTATATATTTAGCACATAACATAATTATGTAAATTAAACGTAATTAAGTTACATCCATATACCATTCTATGAATGAGACATAACAAATACAAAATACATTTACATCACTAAGCTATAATAAAAAAAGATGTAAATAATATATGTTTTGGTTACATCTGCAGAAATGTATATTGTAGTCTGTAACAGTTATATCACTAAAGTTATGAGATTGTCTTTTCTAAAAAATTACATCACTACGATGTAACATAATTTCATAAATTATACGTCACTTTTTCAGTGTTTGAGCATATTTCACTATATTTGTTTTTGCACATTGAGAGAAGCGATTTTGTTATATAAACATTATTAAGGGACAACAAATGTCATAAATTGATAAGAAAACGATTGATCAATAAGTACTATTGCAAATTATTTCTCATTGTTCGTTAATATAACAAATAATCAAAATAATCAGTATCGCTAGCAAATAAAGTCAATCTAAAACATATTATAGGTTAGGTTCTATATAGTTTGCTTCTATTATGCTATCAATTAATTATTTTTATGCAATTAAATAATAATATATACGATTGTCGTGTAGATTTTTCCTTTATAGATACAAAAATATAAAGAATAAGTATCCCACACAGCAAAAGAAATCTGTGGAATCTCGTCAAGATATCGTGCTGGGATATCGCAATATCTCATAGATATTCTGAAATATATTCTTACGTTATTCCTGAGATATCCGTGATTATTGTTGCTTATAGTAAAATCTGAAATGATATCGTAGGTATATTATAAAGATATATTAGAGATAATTATAGTATCTAGTCGGGATATATTTTGGAGAATGTTTTTTATAATTATAATGATGGCTTAATTTACACCGATTATACAGACATATTACGGTAGTACGTAATCTCGAAGGTTTCTGGCATGCTAAAACCAAATCCATAGCCCAAATTGCACTATTACGTCAGGTTTCT